CGGTGCTGGGCTCCAGGCGGGTGGAGTGGGCATGACAGTACCCGGACCAAAAGCCCGGGCAGCCATCTGAGAACCCTCAACAGTGAAGACTGGCAGGCTGACAGGAGGGGCCTGGAGTTCACCAAACCAGAAATGAGTGCTGGTTTGGCGTCCTTGCTATCCCATGACCTGGACGCAAAGATAGCCTGAAACCTGGCTCTTCCCACCAAGCAAGGACAGAAAGAGCACTGAGAGAAACCCTCATTCCTGCCCAGAGGAGCAAGACTGGGAACTCTGGAGACTTTTTCCTTTTTTTTTCATTCTCTCTCTCCTCATTTTCTACCCAGTTCCCACTCCCTGCCCCCAGGCAGCCTCAGCAGCAGGGGTCAGGCTGGTACCTCTCCCCTGAGCAAGGGAGATTTGAGCCCAAGAGAGTGAGGACAGGGCTCACTGCTTTTCTGCCTTGACCCACCTCCCTCTTAGTTCTAGAGGCATAAATCTTAGAACAGGGAATGGGAGGGGAGGAGGGGAAAAAAAGAGAAACAAATGTACAAATTTGCTTCAAAAACTAATTTTTGAGGGGGTTTGTTTTTGTTTTGTTTTGTATTTTAAGACAGGGTCTACAGGGTAGTGATCCTCCTATTTTCAGCCTCCCAAGCACTGGGGTTACAGGAATGCACCACCACGCCCAGTCTCAATCCCTGTCTCAGCTCACCACAGGGACGGGGCTGGCATCGCACAGTGGGGATCGAACGCCGGCCTCTGTGTCTGCCTAAGCAGGCGCATTAGTCTGCTGAGCTATTTGGCCAGCTCTAAAAACTGATTTTTTAAAAAGATCGTTTACCATCTTAACTCTTCTATGTGGCTTTTAGTATAAGACACATTCTATTTGTTTCCTTTTCCTTCCTGAGCTGGAGTTCCTTATGGAGCCCAGGCTGGCCTTGAACTCACAACTCCTGAAGAATTGTGTTATAGACACACCCACCGCACCTAGCCACAGCCTGCGTTTCTTCTGAACTCTGTAGGAGCTGGTGTACAATCCAGTACATGGAATGCTCATTACCATCAGAAGTAATTTTAAACATTCCCTCTTTGATTTGGCGGAAAATGTGACCATTAACTAATTAACCAGCTGCCAAGGAAAGGACATTGCTCTGCAAACCTTGATCCCTGTACTGAGGCCTTCAAGCCCATGGGGCATTGTCTCCTTCTGCCCAGCAGACACCAACTTCTTACCCACCCAAACGGACCTGGCTTCCCCACTGGCCAAGTCTGCCACCTGCTGGCTATGCCTAGGTGTGACACTTGTGACCTTCTAGAGTTGCAGTGCACAAAACACACCAGCACACAGGGTGGCTTAAACCTAGAATCCCGGCTTCTCGGAGGCTGAGACAGGAGGTGCACAGATTCAAGACCAACCTACATTACTTAGTGAGAGCCTCTCGCAATAAGAAGATAAGACAAAAAAGCTGGGATGTAGCTCAGTGGGACAGCACTAGCCAGCAGTCACACCCTAAGCAAGGTGAAATAAAAAGAATTGCTGAACGTTCAACACAATCAAATAGAAATTAGAATAGGCCAGGAAACAGGAGGGGAAAAAACAGAAAAACAGATGAGGTGAGGCGCAGTTTGCATTGGCGTACACACAGCCCCAAAACTCTTCCACATGGGCACTCACACTCCTTCGTCTCCGACCTTACTGAGGCCGGCGCTAAGGGCCTTGCACTGTGCTGTGTCTTCAGCATCTTCCTAGTAAGAAGAAGCAACCGCACAGCTTCTGAACCCGAGAAACTGCTCCCGCAGCAAATCTTGGCTCACAGGGAGCGTCCTGCACCAGACAGAGCGGCAGAGAACAAGTCGGCAGGAAACCATTGGGGGAGGGGGCCGTGCACACCCTTCAAGGGTGACGTGTAGACTGTGCCTCACCAGCTTTCCCACTGCGGTGCCCCCAGTACCGGAGACTGCCCCCTAAAAAGCACAGGGGGCAGGACCAGGCACCCTGCCACTCACCCAGAATTTCTTTGACATCTTATTATTTACCTCAGAAACTCGTGTTTTCATGCATAACATATCTGTGCCTGCCTTCCCAGAAAATTATGATCTAAATTGCTCACTAGCAGGGCTGGCAATAGGCAGAGTCTCCGACTCCTTCAGGGACTGTAATGCTGCTGCCTTCAGCGTGTTCCTGGAAAATTAACTGAACTGAGAAAAGCTGGCAGGGAGTTCGACCTCCTGCCTCTTCTCCTGGTTAATATGATAATGTCCCAGGACCGTGGACTCACAGAAATAGGTCAAGACAAATACCAGCACTTCCCCTGCTTTTCCAGCTCAGCACAGTGCCAAGAGTGACCCCAAGAGATGGAACAAGATAAGCCCGCGCTTGCTGCGGGCATCTCATCTGGGGTGTCATCTGTGTTCTCCCCATCACAGTGACCCAGGCTCTCAGGTCTCTCCTTCACCTCCTGTTAATGCAGCAATTTTGTTCCACATAAATAAAACAAGAGCTGCCTAGGAAAGAGGCAAGCAATCTGCACGTGCCAGTCTGCAGGTCCTCAGGGAGCAGTGGGATTACAGGAATGGATAAAAGCCCACTGGCTCTGCCATTGGAAAGGGCCAGCCTGTGTTAATTTGAATAAAGACTCTGGAAGCCTTCATCCACTAAAATAAAACAGAAACAAAGCCCGGGGTTGGCACTGCTGAAAAGCACACTCCAAGGCCATAACCGAAAATGGTGATTACTTCACCTTGATAATAGGAACAAACAGGAAGATGTGATTTGGTCCACCTATCAGCATGCCCTCTCTTTCCTGGTGGGATGTGGTGCCCACCCCACTGCCCAAGGCTGCCATAGTCTCCTGGGAGGGAGAGGCAAACAGTAGCCACATCCAGTGGTAGTATAGAGGGGCAGTGGCAGCAGTGTGACATGTCTGGGAAGCCCCATTTTGTGCTACCGGACAAATCAGTCTCTGCTGTTGCACCCAAGAATCCTAACACAAGAAGCAGAGATCCTTTTGCACTTAAAAGAACAATTTTGCACTATGGAAAGCAGATATAATCAGAAATAGTGTTCTGGTTGTGGTGACACACACCTGTAATCCCAGCATTCAGGAGGCTGAGGCAGGAGGCTCTTACAGAGTTTAATTTCAGCCAGGGCTACATAGTGAAACTCTTGTCTCAAAAACCAGAGAGGGAAGGAGGAAGGGAGGGAGGGAGGAGATAAATACCCACACAAAAATGCATTGGCATCACGTTTATTCACTATCTGGACAGATGGATTTGTAAAACTAAAGCAAAAAAAGACTTAGGGCTGAGCTGTCCCCCAGAAAAGTCAGTACACAACAGCACTTGTGGCCATGACTTCTGTATTGGCAATGTAGATGACAGAACAGGTCCTGGAAAGTTCCTTCTGATACCACTGGTGTGGTAGAGCTCTGTAGGATAATTGATACATTTAATGTGAGAGAAATACAGAAATTTATGACAAACAAACAAAAATACACCTTTCTTTTAACACTTCTAGAGTCACTGTGCCTGGTAATGTTCCCTGTAATCTCACCTCTCGGTGGGCTGAGGCAGGACAATCACCTTGAATTCAAGGCCAGCTTGGACTATATAATGAGAACCTCTCTCCAAAAAAAAACCCTCCACAAAAAAGACAGAAAAAGAAAAACCACTTCTAGAATACACACAATAACAATGAGGATGAAAGAAAATCTAGACATATTTTTCAAAAAGAAATTATAGAAACTACATCCCCTATCCACAATGCAACTAAATTAGAATTTTTCAATGAAAGAATAGCCAAAGACATACATTCATGGTTATATACACACTTGGTTAGAAATTTTAAAACATTGTTTTAAATAAGTCTTGAGTTAAAGCAGAACTCAAGCCCAACATTACAAATTATGGAGAAATCTGAACCACACTAGGAATCTTCTACAAAGCAGAAGAGTACTCAGAGGAAATTTTAAAGATTTGAATATATGTATGAGAAGAGATTAAAAAAATGAAAATAAGTGCTGGCCAGATAGCTCAACAGACTAAAGTGCCTGCTTAAGCAGAGCACAGCGGCCAGGATTCCATCCCTGGCATGCTGTGCCGGCCCCACCCACTGGGTACACTGAGACAGTGATCGAGACTGGGCGTGGTGGCGCCCACCTGTAATCCCAGAGCTTGGGAGGCTGAAAACAGGAGAATCACTA